TTCTTTCGACTTTAGGGTTTAAAAAACTCTGTGATTGTACGGAAATAAAGTATGAGTGTCACCACTGATATGGATGTCTCGGACAGCGGTGATACCCTTTGATCTTGAGAAATCCTGCCCTCAGTTGGGATTTTCGTTTTAATTTTCTGTACCGCTGGTATTCGTTTCTCGGAGAGAACTTCCAATTTTGCCGCAGACAATGCAATGTTCACTGGATGTCAAAGGCCATTAAGCGGATTAGTAAAGTGTCCTGTCCATCTAAATACTTCTCCGGTTGGTTCCAGAAGGTTATGAAGATTAACATCATGTGCGAACTTTTGGGTGCGAATGAGAACCTGATCCATTGGGATTTATTAAAAAGCTTGATACTCTTCATTACGCCTCGCCATATCCAAGTTAGCTCAGAAACAGTTTTTGTTTCTGTAGAGCAGCTCTCCAGCGAAGACCGCCATAAAGTGGTGACACATCCGGATACCACCTTCAGAAGGCACCTAGAGGCGCATTCATGTCCTGCATCTTTCGCTGAACCTCGATGGTCGCGAGTTTAGTAAAGCCATTTTGTAGATTGTGAACCAATTAAATCCAATGTGAGTCTGTCCGGTCAATATTTTGCACCTTGAACATCGTTTTCCAGTTGGATAATTAACTGATCAATGTTATCCCTCTTCGAGCAGTAACATGTCTTAATTTAGCCTGTCTGTTCGAAGTGTCGACAGTCTCAGTAGGCGCAGTCTAAGACAGGTCAAAAGGAGGACCATTTCTTATCCGTTTTCAGCATTACAATGACATCTACCGTCTTCGGCTGACGATGTCCAACTTGAACGTATTAAAAAGCCGAACTGCATTACAGTGTGGACTTCAGCTGAGGACCATGTCAAACGTTACCTCGGGTGTTGAAAATGCATGGTGACGACACAAAGCTGAGTAAAAATTTCAGGTTAAGCGATCGATCTTCATACAACAGACGACCCACGACTCAACAGTGTGGTACGCTACACCAGGACAAACCGGACACACGACGACTACAGTTTCCCGCCTTGTTTGCAGGCGCTGCGTCTTCTTGAGAAGTTGGACATAATGGAATGGTGTCAGGCTAGTCGTCCTCGATTCAGTTGCCTTCCTGAACGGAGTACGAGAAAATCTTGCTGATCAGGGATGCATAAATACACGGTCAGACATGGAACCCACTTACTCGATTACTCCCCTGTTTGTTGTGAATCATAGCAACGTGAGGAAGTGGACGGCATCCGGAGTTCGATAGGTTCACCTAACAGGGTAGCTAAATTGCTGATGAGGTGGACAAGGAACGACACAGGTCACTCCACATTGATCAACGGTGAGTGTTTCCGATGACTCGACAACAAAACATCAAAGAAAGACAGGGCTTATAATGCAGTCTAGCGTAGCCCAACCGCTGTGAAGCTTCATCAGTCCGTGTAAGAGACGAAAGATTCCTTAACATGTTGACTGATGCCTTGGAGTACTTTATGCATATCACTGGAACGTCAAATTAGCGATTCCTTAGTACATTTAATATTTTTGGGCAACGAATTTATCGACATTTCAGTTTGAACGGACTGGAGTCCACCAACAGTTTCGATGCAGTCATACAATCCGATTCCGTTTACCAAAAAAGGTTCCAACAGAAATATGTAACAAACCTGGAAACATGTTACCAGAAGACGAACCGCGAAAAGCAGAAAGGATCTTAGGAAGGGCAGTATATAGCCTGATGTTGCGGCACGATAGATGATGAAACGCAAAATGTCGGACTGTCGGAGTCCTATTACATTCACCTACTTAGTCCTGAAAAAAACTGTTCAGCTGTGGCACTCCTTCAGTGCCTAACTGCCTAATTTTGCACGAGGGCTGGGATACTGCCAGGTTTCCCAAGACTAGACAGGGGAAGTCGAGGCAGAGGTCGGGTTCGAATCACGGACCTTTCGTTGAGTGGATTCGCGCTCTAACCACTAGGTAAACAACTAGTTATTCTTCCACCGAATCATGCAACCCCAACATTCCCGATACCCTCCATATCTGCTGCTACCTGTTGCGGTGGATGGGACATAAGTACATATCCCAAGGCTGTTAAGCTTAACTTGAGGATGCTTGTGGAGAACGTAATCTTAACTCCGGTCCACCCTCTTACCTTCAGGTCTTTTTGGGACCAATTTTGTGGCTAGACGGCAACGAAGCAAGTGTTGAAGCTTATATTGGTACGATTATTGTTCTCTTTTTCGGGCTCTGTATCTTTCGCTAACTGCTGGAATCAGCTAGTGATATTTTGATATGACGCTGACAGACGTAACGATGAGGGGTGAGTGTGGATTCGAATGAGACTATCGACGAAACCCAAATACAAACCCAATGAAATGCAGTTATTTTGCGCACTACAACTAGTATAAGCTTACATTGTTTGACCGCCTAGTCGCAATATGCAACCCATGGGTGACATCGAAGAGACTGCTTCCGTTGCTGTCGAAGCCCCGTGGGATTACTGGAACACACATGCACGATGAACTGAACACTTGTTTCGCATTCATCACGTATGTCCTGTGTATCAAATTGTGAATCGCAGGTTGTAGAAAATCGTTCAGCCGTAACACCCTTTCGGTGCCTAGCCGCTACGCCACCCGGAGAGCACGAGGGCTAGGATACTGCTGGGTTGCCCAAGCCTTGACAGAGGAAGCCTACGCCACCGGAGAGCACGAGGGCTAGGATACTGCTGGGTTGCCCAAGCCTTGACAGAGGAAGCCGAGATGCAGATGTCAGGTTCGAACCAAGGACCATCCGGTTAGTAAATTGGCGCTCTAACCACTGAGCCATGTCGCTCCCGATTGCGAGTTGTAAGCCACAGTTTGTCACACACCACATCAAAGAACTGTATAAAGCGGAAGCCAACGTTGCGTTACACTCAACAACAATGGAAAACATCAGGCCTACCATACTGGCACGGACAGCAGAAGCAAATGCCTCATTATGTTATGCTCCTAAAGCTATTTCTTGATAAAAGAATAACCACAGCTGAGGTCAACCTGCAGGGTGAGACAACCTAGAGCATTCCAATAATCACAAGAAGCACGTTTAAAAAGAGAACTCATACGAGAAAGTCACGGACGTTGTCAACATAGGTATACTTTTTCCATCTCGACTTCGCTAATTTTCGAAACTCTCCTTCAAACCATTTTTAAGCCCCAATTCGGCGGTGTCTGAAGACGTGCAACGGTGAGTGTTTCCGATGACTCGACAACAAAACATCAAAGAAAGACAGGGCTTATAATGCAGTCTAGCGTAGCCCAACCGCTGTGAAGCTTCATCAGTCCGTGTAAGAGACGAAAGATTCCTTAACATGTTGACTGATGCCTTGGAGTACTTTACGCATATCACTGGAACGTCAAATTAGCGATTCCTTAGTACATTTAATATTTTTGGGCAACGAATTTATCGACATTTCAGTTTGAACGGACTGGAGTCCACCAACAGTTTCGATGCAGTCATACAATCCGATTCCGTTTACCAAAAAAGGTTCCAACAGAAATATGTAACAAACCTGGAAACATGTTACCAGAAGACGAACCGCGAAAAGCAGAAAGGATCTTAGGAAGGGCAGTATATAGCCTGAGGTTGCGGCACGATAGATGATGAAACGCAAAATGTCGGACTGTCGGAGTCCTATTACATTCACCTACTTAGTCCTGAAAAAAACTGTTCAGCTGTGGCACTCCTTCAGTGCCTAACTGCCTAATTTTGCACGAGGGCTGGGATACTGCCAGGTTTCCCAAGACTAGACAGGGGAAGTCGAGGCAGAGGTCGGGTTCGAACCACGGACCTTTCGTTGAGTGGATTCGCGCTCTAACCACTAGGTAAACAACTAGTTATTCTTCCACCGAATCATGCAACCCCAACATTCCCGATACCCTCCATATCTGCTGCTACCTGTTGCGGTGGATGGGACATAAGTACATATCCCAAGGCTGTTAAGCTTAACTTGAGGATGCTTGTGGAGAACGTAATCTTAACTCCGGTCCACCCTCTTACCTTCAGGTCTTTTTGGGACCAATTTTGTGGCTAGACGGCAACGAAGCAAGTGTTGAAGCTTATATTGGTACGATTATTGTTCTCTTTTTCGGGCTCTGTATCTTTCGCTAACTGCTGGAATCAGCTAGTGATATTTTGATATGACGCTGACAGACGTAACGATGAGGGGTGAGTGTGGATTCGAATGAGACTATCGACGAAACCCAAATACAAACCCAATGAAATGCAGTTATTTTGCGCACTACAACTAGTATAAGCTTACATTGTTTGACCGCCTAGTCGCAATATGCAACCCATGGGTGACATCGAAGAGACTGCTTCCGTTGCTGTCGAAGCCCCGTGGGATTACTGGAACACACATGCACGATGAACTGAACACTTGTTTCGCATTCATCACGTATGTCCTGTGTATCAAATTGTGAATCGCAGGTTGTAGAAAATCGTTCAGCCGTAACACCCTTTCGGTGCCTAGCCGCCACGCCACCGGAAGAGAGCACGAGGGCTAGGATACTGCTGGGTTGCCCAAGCCTTGACAGAGGAAGCCGAGATGCAGATGTCAGGTTCGAACCACGGACCATCCGGTTAGTAAATTGGCGCTCTAACCACTGAGCCATGTCGCTCCCGATTGCGAGTTGTAAGCCACAGTTTGTCACACACCACATCAAAGAACTGTATAAAGCGGAAGCCAACGTTGCGTTACACTCAACAACAATGGAAAACATCAGGCCTACCATACTGGCACGGACAGCAGAAGCAAATGCCTCATTATGTTATGCTCCTAAAGCTATTTCTTGATAAAAGAATAACCACAGCTGAGGTCAACCTGCAGGGTGAGACAACCTAGAGCATTCCAATAATCACAAGAAGCACGTTTAAAAAGAGAACTCATACGAGAAAGTCACGGACGTTGTCAACATAGGTATACTTTTTCCATCTCGACTTGGCTAATTTTCGAAACTCACCTTCAAACAATTTTTAAGCACCAATTCGGCGGTGTCTGAAGACTTGCAGGTGACGATACCAGGAGAATCGATGAGAAATATGTTCTTGTCCAGTTTGACACGCTGACACTGGCTAAGAGCAACATAGTAACAGAGAGCAGTGCACTTACCGAGTCAAACCTGGGACATTGCTACTCATGCAGACCTTCTGCCGCTTCAAGGTATTGATGATTGCGCTTTTTCCAGTGTTGGGTAATCCAATGACACCGACCGTGATTGGCATTCGGGTATTTTCCTTCGAATCCCGAGAGGTTCGGGAATAATTAGCCAACAGCGACATTAATTCATCAACACCCATACCCTTCGAAGATCTAAACGAGTCACGGTAACAAGGAAACATACTGCTCTTTTGATTTCATTGAAACATCGATGTTCCATGGAATATTCCCGTGTGAAAGATTATTGGATTGCTTTTGCGTATTTGCTTTGAAAGGGAGTACAGTGAACCATTGTCGCAGGTAGTTCAACCAGAGCTGGAGGTTAGCCCTCGGTATAAGATCTGGAAATCGCCGTGGAATATATCAACCTACCAATTTTGTTTAGCAGGAGAACTAGGCGCTTTTTGGCAGCATTTACTTTTCCTTCAATTTCTAGCTCTCGTGTACCAAGCGGGTCGCGTGCATCCAGGACTTCAAGTATTACATCACATTCATTGATCAAATTTTCAGTCTCTCTGTACAGCGACGAAGAAAAATGCCGCTCTTTTGGAGCCGTGCCTTCATTCGGCTTACCAGCATTCATCAAGTTGAATACACGGACTTCATTCGACTGATAACACAGGAATCATTATTATAAAATTGTTTACCGTAGCTTTTATCTCTTCGACGTGCTTCAAAATCTCGTCTTTGAACGGCAGGCTGTTGGGAACACCTGGATCTTTTCCTGATCTCCAATTATAAATACTGGGGCGAATCTACTTTTGTGGTGGTTCACATTTTTCTTTGCTTCTTTTCTCAGCTTCCGATGGTGTTCTCTGACCTTATCAAAGTCAAAACGCGGAAATACGGCATACCTTCCTCAGAATTTTGTATCGCTTGTGACAAGTCACTCTCTTGCTTTTAGTTTCTATGGTATAAAATGTAAAACAATGGGGGACGCACTGATTTTCTTCTTTGACATCACACGTGCGCGAAACGCCCGATTGTACCGCCCGACGCGTGACCTTCAAATGGAACCTGAAGATCCGATAGTTTCGATGCGTCCATATACCAGTTGGAAGTCACAAGCTTGTAGACTCGGATCGGTTAGCATCGTATTAGCCCATAATAATGTGCGTTAACTGAACTAAAACGGTTCGACTCTTCCACAAGGAAAAGAGGATTACAGCAGTGTATTTAAATTGACACATGCTCGTACACCATTCAGTGGTATTCAAGGGTCGATACACAGGATCGAGGCTACTGTCCAAGATTCCGGGGTCGCTTTTGTTCTTATCGTTCAGCGACTGTCGTTAAACTGAAAAGCACAAGTGAAAAAAGGGTGTAGCACCGCTCTATATGTTCCCAGCGCGGGGCAGTGTGTTTGCCAGTGCGAGGATTCGCATAAATAGATATCTAATAGTGCTTTGAACTGGGTTCTAGAAGGGGCGTGGACGACCGTCGGAGGAAGGTCACTCCACGCACCTACTACTTGAAGTGAGAAAAAAATTGTCTAATGAATGTGCGCGCTTTGAGCTTGAAAATCTTACTATGTCCCCTCCGTGTGTTTGCCGGGTCAACCGTAAAAACCTGTTGGCCAAGCTTTGTTCAAACAGGGCATAAGTGAGAATTAGGTCCCCTCGGAGGCGACGATACTCCATGGAAAAGAGATCAATCATCGCGAGGCGGGTATGGTATACCACGGATTCGAGGCCGCCAACCATTTTCGTAGCGGCTCGCTGGACACGCCCAATGAGGGTGAGGTTTTTCTTGCGTCCTGTGTAGACAAATCGGTTGGCGTATTCCAGGAGCGGTCTGACGTAGGCCCCATAGAGTATCTGGATGTCCATGCGAGTAATACGGGAGAAGGTGCGTCGGATCATCCGTAGAATGGTCAATGCCTTTTGGGCCGATTTTTCATGGTGCAGTGAGAAGGGTACGTTTGAGGGGACCCAGATGCCCAAATACCATTTGGTATCAATCCTCATGATGTTTTCTGCTTTTTTCTCACCATGCATAACACAGGCATTCGCTGAGCCTCCTTCAAATGACATATGGACGCACTTTTCGTCACTCAGAGGAAGGTGACGGTTCAACAGCCACTGCTTGGCAGCGTTTACATCCATTTGGAGGGCACTGGCATTGAAACTCCAGGATTTCAAGTAGTCCGCAAAAAGTAGACATGGACTTGCAAGAACATCTGGAAGGTCGCTGGCATAGATCAGAAACAGCAGTGGACCCAGGACGGAGCATTCTTGAACTCCAATGAAGCCCGGCGCTGGAGAAGAGTAAGTGGAACCTGTTCTCACTCGGAATGATTTGTCTGATAGGAACGCCTTGATCCAGTGAAAGAGTTTCCCTTGAATCCCGTGAGACTCGAGATTTTGGAGCAGCGGACCGTGTGGGACCCTATCGAATGCCTTTGAGCAGTCGAAAAATATGGCATCCGATGAGTCCTTCATCTTTGGCTTGGGTAAAGCTGTCCATAAACACGAGCATGTTTGTCACGCATAAACGGTTTGGGAGAAATCCAGCCGAGGGGTATGCGCGATTCTTTTCAACCCCGTACCACACCAAGACTTTGGCCTCAAATCCTTTCCAGGTATTACTCTAGTTCCTTCCTGAAATTTCCTTTGCTTAACTGTTTTATCAGGCAACGGGCACTAGAAGTTTTGTGCTCCAAGTGATTGCCAGCCAGCCCCAAAATAGCTTGCGCCCACTGTGAGACAGCAGCTCAAGGTATTGTGTTGCCCGCCACTAATTATCAGCCGTCCATTAGTACTTTGTCGTCCGCACCACTGTGCGCGTCCGTGGAGGTTTTGACCGTGTGTGTTTATGGTATCCCTTGCACGAAGACGGCTTTGGGGAAATGGGTCTTGTTCCTCCTTCTGAAGAAAACTCGTTGTCTTTTCGGAAAGGTTTGGGAACACTCAGTTGAGTTATTGCTCGGTGACCTTCTGCCTCTAACATAAAAGGTTCATCAGGCCCATGAAGGTGGCAGAATATTGAGCGCTGATCATACGCTCAGCAATCGTGGTACATGCGTTAGACTCGGGACATAAAATAGATCGTAGGAATGCGGAAGTTTTATGTTGGAGACAGATTCACACCACAGCGGCTGATACCAGAAGGTGCGGAAACTATCAGGCATCATAGTGTGAATAGATTCGAGGATGTGGGACTGGCTAGCATATGGAGAGGGGTCTTAAGCCAAGTTGATACGTGGTGGCACTTATTCATCAGTGCACGTAGAATCATTAGAAGAACGGGGTAGAAATCCAAACCGGACCGAATTTTACAGAAACACTTTCCATTACACAGCTCCTATAGCACTAGGTCATCCAAAAGTACGGAAAAAAGTGCAGACTATGTTCATGAGGGATCTCAATGTGAACCTAACCGAAGGAACTAGACCCTAAGCTGGATCCAAATCCATGTAGGTTTGCCCGTCGGCTTAGCACTCGGTGGCACACTCTAACAAACCATATCCCTTGGCAGACACCTAGCACGAGTTTAGCTTGACCTAGCTAATTGGTTGTCCTTCTGACCTAAATATCGACTAACCTCGTAACCTAGTCTCTTGGCTTGACGAAAATTTTGTGTCAAAAGCGAAACGTTGCCGTGCTGTAAATCTTACAACTCTTCCCAATACTTTCCTGAAACGATGACTGCTAAATCGGTTCCAATCGTTAAAATACAGACTGAAGTATCTATTTCTCATTTACTTCGTCAAACATGCAACCGTCCTCCGAATACATTCAACACTGTTAACTCTGCTTTCTTAGAAAAACGAGCCGCGGTTCAACCGTATTCCAAGAGTTCTGAAACTACACAACAGTGTTTTGAACGCCCTGGAAAATAAACTAGCAGATGAACGTCAAATGCTCTCCAAAAACACCCACGGTTCTCACAAACCTTATTCATTTTGCTTGATATTTTAAGGGCACTCTAGATTGCCCGAGGCTTTCTTCGCGCCATTGTATGGAATGCAGTCCTCACACTTGTTTCCGTTTATCTTAGTCACTCAGTGCCTAAATCAGACATCTAATATTCTGTGATTAGGCGTAATTTTGGAGCTTCAAGCACGGACAAGTCTTTGAGCCACGTTTTAGGCTTCAGTAACGATTTCTCTTCAAATTCTCTGTGCTTAGTAACTCCATAATTGGTACATGGATTGGTGGTGGTTGTAGCATATACAAGCAGCGAAGAAGTGTGCCCATGACCCATTTCCTTGGAAGAATATTGTATTTTGTGTTCCGTCATAGCGTTAATGCCCGTTGATTATGAATTCCAAACAACCTTTCATTACATAGAATTTCCGCATTCTGTCCTGTAGTGCAGGATGATATGTAATGGCACTAAAACGGCGTGGTCATTGTCTAATTTTTGTAAATGTAATCAGACTTCTGATCGTAATAACTGCTTTTTACAGATAGACACTCATCGACCAAAAACTTTCACTGCCTTAAACGGTGACAAAAATGACCTAGGGCCGATCATTGTCTTGCACATACGAGTCCAGTAGGCTTCAGAACATAGCACACAAGCGGGCGAAAACCATTCCAAGAGGTGCCGTGTAAAATCTCCGACCACCGAAACTTGATGCCACAGAGTGCAACATGAATGTCCAAAAAAACTCCCATTCATGGTACTGTCAACATCAGATAAAATATCCCCACCATTGCGCAAACTTTTTACTTTTTAGGGAGTCTCAAGCAACCTGCACACGTCTTATTGTTATAAAGCTCATGACCTGAAGTATTCGACGGGAGGCCTGCAAGCTGGAGGAAGGCTATTCTTATGGTGGAAAATTTCGAATGTATCGGAGGTCTACCACCTGGTTGGTTGTTTCCCACTCCACCTCACCTGTGATCTAGATCCACAGGACTCCTCAACTGGCCAAAATAACCTCCGATTTTTATCGATGTTTTCTTGACCAGCCCGAGAAATCCCGCTGTTCATAATTGCACATCTCAGCTCAATGACCGTAAATTTGACATCCGCTGGGGAGCTGTCCATAAACCGAAGTTTGTCAGGCGAATGATGGCGCGGCACTGCAAAACCCAGTTTGATAGCACACCCCACCGTCCCGCAACCTTACACTCTCGCCCACTCGGTCCACTAGCCGCAAATACAAGCCGGGTATTTACTTATATCCAGCAGTCTCCGGGCCGCGTTCATTCCAACCTGCTAAACACTTCGTTCAGATCTAACGGTTTTGATGAACTTTTAGCCTGCACCCCACCCCAAAATCAATAATTTCCTACACAGTTTGTGCTCCGGTTCATGTGTTGTCACTAACTCACTCTTCCCGACACCAAAATAAGGGTTGCCTGTACAGCTTCACTCTACACCATGTTTTTGAGGTTCTTGTTACCATTTAGACGCATTGTTTTACTACTTCATCCTCCTCCTTAAGCTTTTCCTGTCGGTGGCCATAAGCCCAAAAGTCCTAGCCCACGGGGTATCAGCGGTGGTTTAAAGTTTTAGTTTAATTTGACTGACTGTATGACGCCAACTATGTTGCCTTACCAAATCTGATGTTCTGGTTTTTCCGCTGTTTAAATATTTCTTCTCATGGCGCTCATTATTCACACAATGATATTGATTTCTCGAAATCTACGAACTTTTCAGGCTTGCCATTTCATAGTGTGAAATGTCTATGCATAATGAATATGTTCCCGCATTATTGAAAATCATTTACTACGGCGACTTCTTCAAGTGAGCGAATGTTCAAGGTCAATAAACACCACCTACTGTGAATACGTTGCCTGATGATAGAAAATCGCGTATTGTGGAGAATATTGACTCACTTGTGATAAAGAAAGCTTTCAAGCAGTTTCCCACCGAGAAAATTTCCCTGAACATTTTAGAATCCAAATGGCCTTTGGACTTGCAAAATTTGCGTCGATGCATTCGTGCAAACAAATTCTGGTCGATGATCCCTGTTGGCAGACTTCCGGAACACACTGTGCTGCGACTCTGTGCCTCGGTCCAGGTCAACATCATAAAACGCCCTCTTTGCAGACCGGGTAGCAAGCGCACCTTTGCGTTTTCTGGATGGGCCGGAGCCGAGAACCGAAAGTAATTTCTTTTCATGTGGACGCACGTTTGGGACAAGCTTGAAGAGCACAACCACACAGCGGGCAAGGTTCACCATTACAACAGTCGACGTGATATGACACGCGATCTGTTGTACACCAGCAAGCACTGGTCACAGAGCACACAAACGCCCGAGTCTGCGTTCCCAGACCGCCATTTGGGTTGAGGTGCTGTATTCTCGACCACCAACGGCAGGCCGTCAGTTACAGACTTTGAGCCTTAACGCAGCAGGATTTGTCCCTGAACAATCGATAATTAAAATGCCCGTGGCCCTCTGAAGCTTATCCATCACTCGATTCAACTGTTTATTAAGGCCGTCGACAGCTGTCGGTGGTTGCTTGTGAAGAAGTGCAAGGGGTACATGTTTTTCCGGTAGGTTGTAATCCGACAGCCATCGTTGGTGGATTGAGAACCAAGCAAAGAAAAAGTCAATGATGAATAGTTCTTACTGCTCGGAATGGACTGACCTCGAAATACAGAGAACAGATGTATGTATGGGAGCCACTCCTACTAGTAGAAAAGGCATGTGCATTCTCCAGCACAGGTGTCAACACTCTACGAGCATCTGGGTATTTGAATCACAAACTAAAAGTTAGTTTACGTAGCTCGACCTCACCTTGTTTGTTCGAACACTTTCATGCGGCAGACGCGGCGGTCGCGGACCCAAGAGCCTCAAAACGAGAGAGTATGCATATGTCATCATTCGACATATCACATTTAGAAAGTAGGCGTCACCCTCCAGGATTTGACGCCTATCGCAGTGGTACGACGTAAGCATCTCGAACTTCTGCATGAGCCATTCGGCGTGCCGGGACACCTACTGAATTGCATGCTTCAACGTGTTGGAGTGGTGCACCCGGCTTTAAGGCGGCCGTTAGCATTGTCCAATCGGTTGTTAGTCACACTGCTGAAGTGAACTATTCCAGAGTGCGCGTGCATGGCCCATTTTCGGATGATGCACAACCAGCGGGCCACAAGACACGACACGAATCGAGGATCGGTGCGGCGCAGAAGCTGCAGCTCTCGCCGGAATCTGTGTGCTTGTAATACGATGGAAAAACCTACTGCATAGCGTTGTCCAGGCAAGCCATGTGGTGAAATATGTGCCGGCTGTTCGCTATATGTGTCTATGATCAAAAATACATGGATATTAAATGATACGTACATGTTTCCTAATGGCTTTGCGGACATGAATGTAGCATAGCATCACGTCACAGACGAACACGACTCTTGTTGCACGCTTTTGCGCCGCCAACTTATCCATTACGAAGGTCTTAACCGGATAAGCTTCACCTAACATTTCTTTGAATAAGCCGAACAGTTTACGCATGGGAGCAAACTGCTCGCTCTCCACGAATGCATACATAGTTGAGCGCCCGTTTCCCATCCCGTTTGTTATCAAGAAGGTGTACAGTTTATATCTACACGCCGAAAATTAGATGCTTTAAAAAAAATCAACCAAGGCGGTTTGTTGCATGCGTTCCGTATACATTCACGACACCTGGAAAGCATCGTAACAACGCTATCTACTGCCATCAGGAGAAGCATATGTAGCTATAGTAACCTTCCTCTGACTGGCACACAAGGACGCGTCCGGTTTCCCGAAGTTTTGTCAGGACCCAAGGCATATCATCCGCCACATTGAAACCTAACTATGAGGCACATATTCAACATAGCCGGTCGACACTTCTGACGGTAGTTGTATATATCCTGAGTGGTAAGAATCTTGCCGAATTCATCCGCCACAAACGGTCGCACCTCGCACGATGGCGTTCCATGTTTCAGTCGGGCCTTGTATGTGCCCAACTCGTCTTCACTTATGCATCAATTAACTGGAACCCCGTCGTACAAAAACTTCGACAATTTGTGGTTGTGTTAAAGAAAATAAGGTCACCGCTAGTTGGTTCCTTTACGCCCGTAGAAAAAACCGCACTGGAGAGCTGGTGCTTCGTGTAGTTTGTTTTATTGGAAAATACGCTCAGCTTACCAGGTTCTTCGGATTCCCCGGCCTTCCGTTGGTTTTGGATGGCGCCTGCTGCATTTGTAGTACACCCATTCGTAGCGCAAAACAGCGTTTGTGCTTCGTTTGCTGGATGAACGCACAAATACCACAGTTACCCTTCATTTATTTATTTGAAGCCTTCCCAGATGCCACGACGGATGGAAGATGCCTCAGTTCCGCTGCTTGAACAAGCTAAGTCTCACAGCACCTAACAAAACTGTCCATACCACGGTATGACACACAAGTCCCCGAGATTCAGGAATAAAACTCTTCAAAGGGTTTTGAAGACCTTTCAGCGTCCCCACCATTATCGATCACAAAATTAAAAAGTAATGACCTAAGGGAAGCCATTGCAGAAGAGACTAGCCGTGGTGTGCGTCTTCGTGCCTCATTGCGCTACACTGCTTAGTGTCCGTGCTGCACTCATAGACTCTGTCAACCCAGATCCGTCAATGGTTAGGGGCCTGACCAACTCTAGTGACCAGCCAGTGCTGTTTCTGATCTACGTCAACGAAGTGACCAGCGCTGTTTCTGATCTACGTCAACGATCACCCAGACGTTCTTGCGAGTCCATGTTCACTTTTTGCGGACGACTTGAAATCCTTCCTGTCCAATGCCAGTGCCCTCCAAATGGATGCAGACGCTTCCAATCAGTGGTCCTTGGACGGGCACCTTCCTCTGAATGATGAAAAGTGCGTCCATGTGTCGTTTGGAGGGGATTCTGCGAATGCCTTATGCCGACTGCCTTATGCGTGGTAAAGGGAGACCAGAAAACATCATGAGGATAGATGCCAAAAAAGATTTGGGCATCTGGGTCTCCTCAAACTTGTCCTTATCACTGCACCATGAGAAATCGGCCCAAAAGGCATTCGCCATTTTACGGATGATCCGACGCACCTTCTCCCGTATTACTCGCATGGACTTCCAAATACTCTATGGGGCCTACGTCAGACCGCTCCTGGAGTACGCCAACAAGGTTGTCCAATCAGGACGTACGAAAGACGTCACCCACATGCCGTGGGCTAGACGCACGCCGAAAATTTCTCTGAAACCGTGGTTCGAAGGAGGAAAACTTTAACATAAAGTTTTAACATTTGATGGTAATTTTTCGGGCGTATGAGATCTTCCCAAATGATCGCAGTTTTGTTGAAAGTTGTTTAAATCTACTCAATCCACACGATATTCAAGACGCGGGATATTCATATTTTAAATGGCTGCTACGGCTGAGCACATGAATGCGGAGGATG